ATTTATTATTTATTTTTTTTAATACTATTTTTATTTTTTTATTTTTTTAAGATTTTTATATGTTATTTTGTTTTTTTTAAGTATTTTTATTGGTTTTTTTTTTTTACTTTTTTTATTTATTATTGTATCTTTAATTGGTTTTTTTTAAGTGGAATTTTATTGTTTTAATTCGTTTTCGTCAATTTCTTATTCAAATTTTTATCTGCTTATTTTACCTTAACTTTTATACATTTTTATTTATTTATATATTTAATTTTTTAATTTAATAATTTTTTTATTTTTGTAAATTATAAAAAAATAATAAATATATAAATTAGAATTTTATAATAAATAATATTTTCGTATTTATTATTTATATTACAAATATATAATTAAATAAATGAATATAATAATATATTAAATAAATTATTTATCTTATTGTAAAAATAAAAAATGTAAGTTTTTTAAAAAATATATATTTTTTTATAAAAAAATTAAAAATATTATTATTAGAATTTATATTTAATTTCATATTAGTTTTTAATTATTCATAAAGTTAATGAATATTAACTTTTTGTTATATTTTAATTTCGAAATAATTTAATTAATAAAAATATTTATGTATTTTATTTTTATTTATTTAAATAATAATTACTAAAATATATATGTCAATCATATAAAAATTATATACATTTTTATAGTATTTGGTATTTTTTTCGTAATATCTAATAATAATTAATGCCTTAAAAAATTAAAAATTATATTCTTTAATAAATTTAAATTATAAAAACAAAGCAAAACAAAACAAAACAAAACAAAAATTATATTTTTATACATAATAAAAATGAAAATTTTGTTTTAATTTATTTTAAATATTTGTAAAAATTTCATTATAATTTATTTTTTATAAATTAACTAAATGTAAACTCTTAATAATATAAAATATTTAATACATATAAAAATTAATTTTATTTAATATAAATTAATATATATTATTTATATTTAAATTAAAAATATTCATATTATAATAATTTCAAAGTATTTTTTATAAAAATATTTATATGCATTAATGTTTTACATATTTAATTAATAATTATTTTTATTTATTACTTAAATTATTTATTAATAAATATTTAATTATTTGTATATTTATTTATAATTAAGTTTATATATATTACTTTTTATTTTGATTTATATTTTTTATTATTTTTTGTGAATTGTGTCTTATAAAAGAATTCAGTAAAATGTATATAAATAATTTAATATATATATATATTTATATATATTTATATATATATATAATTAATATTTAAGGCTATAATTTTATTTCTTAATATATTTTTTATAAAAAAAAAAATATAATTAAAAATTATTTTTAGTCTTTTTTATTAATATAAACTTACATGTTTATTATAAATTATTATAATAATAAAATATAAACATATTTAAAATAGTAATATGCAACAAATAATTTTATTATTTATATTTTTTTTCGTATTTAAAATTATTAGATTTATTCCATTAATTTAAAATGATATTCTAATAAAATATATATTTTTTTCATTTGTATTTTAATTTTAAATATCATTTTAAAATATTTATTTTATATTCATAATGCTGAATAATCTATTAATATATTTTTAAACAAAATAACAATATTAATTATATATATCTTAAAAATTAAAATTATTTTATCTAATTTTTTTACAAATTGTGTCTATTATCCTTAAATAAGATATATAAATATATATTTATTTATAATATTTATATATATTATTAATAAATATGTAATAATTATAATTATTTATATTTTTTTTTATATAATTTATATATATTAATTAATATTAATATTAATTTAATTTTAATAATATAAATTTAGATTTTATAAAAAATAATTAAAATAATATCACTAAATAAAAAATTATTATTAATATAAACAAGAATAATAATATAAAAAAAACACACTTATTTATATAAATAAGTAAATAATGTATTGGACTTCATCTTCCACTTCATTTTTATAATAATAAATTCCTACAAATATAATAGATTAAATTTTATAAGAAGATCATCCTTTTGAGCATAAATTTAATCATTTAATGTTAAACCAATACTTTTTATTAATTGACATATAAAACAGAAAAAAAGAACTAATATATTTCTTTAACATAAACTCAAAAAAAATAATTAAATTATTAATAGAATACATTACCATAATAAGCCCAGATGAATAAGACGTAGATAGAGGATATGAATTTCCTTTAGTAAGCCATGATATATTTAAATATAAAATGCCTGAAATTATTCGAGAATTTTTCGGACAAAGTTAAGAATTTTTGCATTAATTATTTAATTTTGTAAAAAATGATAATTACATAAATGATGTTTTAATAGGATATTTTTAGGATTTAGTAGTATATTTAATTTCAGTTGAACCTATAAAAATGATGGATTTTTTATTTTCTAATTAATGGATTTTATAAGCATTTTTTAAACAAATAGCAAATAATTCTATATGTAAAAAAAAATATATATATATATATAAATATATATATATATTTATTTATATATTTTTATATATACATATATTAATTATATATAAATTCATCTGTATTTTTTAAATATATATAGATGTCATTTTGTATAACGTTTTTGTTTTTTGGCTTAATAGATTGAGTTTAAAAGATTAATGTGTTTTTGAAAAATATTTAGATATTAAATTACAATTAATAAAGGAGAATCTTTAAAATGATTACGCTTGTGATTTGCTAACTGATATTGTAAATAATTATTTCAGTATAGCTGAAGGTAAATAATTATTGGATTATTTAATATCACAAAAAGAAATTTTTAATATATTTTTCGATAAAATTGAGTAAAATAAAACTTAATATTGTAAACTATTATATTCTATATGTTAATATTTTTCAATTTAATCATAAAACTTTTAGAATAATTATCAAGATTAAACTGATTTTTACTAAATAATACTTGATTAATACCAAGAAATGCCTTTTTTATAATGTCTTTTTGAGAAAATAAAAGTTTTTAAAAAGATGCTAACCTTTAATAAATAAGAATAAAAAATAGGATTTAAGAGATTAAAAATAATTGAACTTTTTAGCCAAATAATCCAAATACAATTTCCAATAATTGAAAAAGAAATAAAGGATTAAGAAATTTCCGAAATTTTAATCGATTTTCTTTTCCAATTTGAATGGAATAACATTTTACATTAACAAATTTAATGTTTTTTTATAAAAAGTGTTGAAATAGAAAATTTTATAGAATCTTTTTAAAATTTAGAAAATAAAATTATATAAAAAATGAGTAGAAATACCTTTTTTTATTTTAACGAAAAAGGAAGAACCACAAAAGGAAATCTAGGCTATATTATTAAAATAGTACATCTTATTTTAGAAAAAAACAAAAAATTCAAAAACTTAAGAAATTTCTATAATCTAGTCTTTGTTCCTCATTTAAAAAATGGGTGTAGATCTTTGGGAGATTTTTATAATTATATAGGCGAAGATTAATAGGAAAATTGCAATTCAGAATATTAAAAAGTGCATGTATATACAGATTTCGAAAGAATTTAAAGGATTAATAAAGTTAAGTAAAGTTAAGGCTTTTAAGAATAATTTACTTAGTTTTTATATTTTTAGAATCATCAAGTTTAATATGAAAATGAAGAAGTCATTAGTTAAGATAATTAATAAGAAATTACTATATAATAAAAGTTAAATTAATAGCAATAAGACTAAAAACCTAAATAGGAAGACTAAAAACCTAAATAAGAAGACTAACAACCTAAATAGGAAGACTAAAAACCTAAATAGGAAGACTAAAAACCTAAATAAGAAGACTAAAAACCTAAATAAGAAGACTAAAAACCTAAATAGGAAGACTAAAAACTTAAATAAGAAGACTAAAATCATAAATAGGAAAAAATATAAAAAAAAGAAGAAAGAAATAACAATAATGTAAATATAGACGATGATTATTTGATAAAATAGAAATAATAATAAGAAGAAGAAGAATAAGAAGAAGAATAAAAATAATAAATGATTAAAAAATAACTAGAAATATCTTAATAAAACATAATATAATTAGAAAACGAATATAATGAACTTTTACTATAGTAAGATTTAAAAACTGAACAACTATTAGAAAAAGAGAAATTAATAGAAACTTAAGAATCATAAAATAATTAAATCGAGTCTAAAAATTAAATTTTAATAAATTAAATAATCGAAAAAGACTATAATAAACTAAAATACGAAAATATACTGTAAAACAATTAAAATAACGTCAAAATTTTAGAGATATAGAACAATTTTGAAACCAATAAGCTATTATTTGATGAAATTTAAGCTAAAATCAACCAAGAAGAATAACAAGAATTAGAAAAAATAGCCCTAGAATATGAATAAACGGAAAAAGCACTTAAAAATTAATACGAAAACGAATAAAAAATGGTTCAAAATAACTTTTTGGAATTAAATAAATTAATTGAATTATAAAAAAAAAATCTAATTGACTAATAAAAAAGAAAAATTACGGATAAAAATCTTATCTAAATTCAATATGCTTAAGAAAAATTATAACTTTTATAAAACACATATAATGAGTAAATAATTTTAGCAAAAAAATTAGCATAAACAGAAGGATATATAGAAGAAGAAATATAAGAACAATAAATAGATGAAAATACTTAAATAATTGAAAAAAAGGAAGAACAATAAATAGATTAAAATGCTAAAACAATAGAAGAACATGAAGAACAAATAGATTAAAATGATGAAAATACTTAAATAATTGAAAAATAACAAGAAGAACTAGATGAAAATATATTAATAAGTGATAAAAAGAAGAACAATCAATATAATAAGTATACTAATCAATGTCTTAAAAAAGAATATAAATAAACCAAATATAAAAAAGTAGTAATGACGATGAAAATACACTTAAAAGTCTCGATTGTTTATAAATCACTGAAAACAAGAAATGCAACGAAAGTATAACATTTAATAAAAATAAAAGTGAGTCTTTTTAAAAAATAAGTCTTTAAAAAAATAATTCTATTTAAAATATTGATGATGATTTAAATTAATATTAAGTTCGTAGAAATTCTTTTAATTAATTAAATTTTGATACATAATAACCAGATTAATAAGAACCGGAATCTCCCTATGAATAATTCGCAACTAAAAATTAAAGAGATAAATCTCCTACACCAAATAAAGGATTTATTAAAATCATTTAATAGTCAAATTAAACTAATTAAATAGTCTAGAAATTATCTTTAAATAAAAAAAATAGCGGAACTGATTTAATGGTTAGTTCAGGAGGAAATTCCTAACCTAATTCAGCATAAGCTACACCAAAATATAATATTTTTGATGATTTAGACGGAGGAACTTTGACTAGTTTTATTTAAAATCCTAATTTTTATCAAGAAACAGAATTAGAAGATAAAAATAAAAAAAATAACGCAAATATAAACGAATAATTAAAATTATAAATTGAATAAAATGTTAAATCTGAATTATAAAATTAAATGATTTTTTCAAATAATATTTAAAGTTTAGAAAATTAAAATTTTGAAAATTAAAAAATAGAAAATTAAAATAGTTTTTTAAATAAATCTATAAACGATAACTACCAATAATAATAATAATAGAATATACATTAGAAAATTTTCGATAATGATAAGAAAAATAAAAACTTCTTAACTAATTAATAATAATAAAATAAATAATAAGAATATAGTATAAATAATAGCTAATAATTATAGTAATAAATATCATACCTATATAATTCATTAACAAATAATTAAGAATAAATATATTCTAAAAAACATTAAAATACAAATTTATTACATTAACAAGATTCAACAAATTTATAATAATTACCAATATAGGTATTACCAAAAACAGCATAATAAACTAATCAAGCTAAAATTTATAAAATAGAAATAGAAGAAGAATTAAAAAAATCATTTTCTTAATAATAATTAGCAAAAATAATTTAATATAATCATGAAGATAATACTAATACTAATATTAATAATTAATATAATATAATTGAAAAAAATATTAATAAAAAAAATATGACAAATAGTCTAAATAATAATTAAAAAAATAATAATAGTAGTAATTTAAATAATTATTTAAATAATAATCTAAATAATAATTATCATAATAAAAGCCTAAATAATCTAAACAATAATATAAATAATAATATATATATTTATCAAAATAAAAGTCTAAATATTAATCTAAACAATAATATAAATTATTATAATGATAATAATAATAATAATAATAATAATAATAATAATAATAATAATAATAATAATAATAATAATAATAATAATAATAATAATAATAACAATTATTAAACTAATGATTATAATTTTTCTTAGTCATATTTAAATACTGAAAAAAAATATTTCTAAAAACAAACTCCATCTTTATATTATTCATAAAAGTCAACTTCTTAATCTTTGTTAGATATAAATTAAAAATATTAATAACAATTAAATCATTAATATTCTTAATAATTAGAATAAAAGGAAGTATTGAAATAATATAAACCCATATTTTAAAATAATATACCAGTTTCGAATTATAACCATTCTAATTATAATAGTTTCGATAATACATTAAATACATAATAATAATCTGCATCTTCTAGAAACAACAGATAGCTTGCAAATTCTGCAGTATTTGAAAAAAAAACATAAATAAACACTTTTACCTAGAATTCTAATATTACCGAAAGTGTAAATAGTAGTATTTTTAAAACTTCTTATTTAGATCCTTAAGTTATGCAAATTATGAATAAATATTAACAAAATAATCCTAATAAACTTTAATAATTAAATTCTATAAGTGATTTAAGAAGTAGTTCTTATTTATCTACTGGAAAATTATAAACTAACAGTAAATTTTTTAATGAATTAAATAATGATAATTAAAATAAAAAATATTGAAAGGAATAAAAATAAAAATTACATATATATATTTATAAAATTAATTATTTAATAAAAAAAAAAAAAAAAAAATTTTTTTTTTTTTCTTTTCTTTTTCTTTTTCTATTTTTTTTTTTTTTGACTTATAAAATTTTTATAGTTTATAAAAATTTAATTTTTCATTAAATAAAAAGTTTAAATGTAACAATAAATTAACATATTTATAAAATAAAAATAAAAAAATACGGGCAAATATCTTTAACTAAAATATTAATAATCTAAACGCATACAAAAACTACTGATTATATAATTTTTGCTACTGCAAAATATTATGAATTTCCCTAAAAAGATTAACTAGCTATTACTTGTAAAACATTATATATAGAACATTCAAAACAACCTAAAAAAATCATCGAAAAATAACATAAACTATAACTTTTAAAATACAAACATAAGAATATCATCCCTATAATTATCTAAAATAAAAAAACTTACATTTAAATCATTTTCTCCTTTCCATATTTATCGCATAAAATCCCGGAAAAAAACCCTCCAAGAGTTTCAGATATTCCCAAAATAACGAGTATTTTAGACACATTTAGACTTACATAACTATCCATTTAATCACTTTAATTGTTTTAGTTTTAAACTAAAGCATTTCTTACTAAAACATCTAAAAAACCACAATAAATCACACCAGGATATCCTTAGTAAGTCATATAATATATTATTTTTCTCATTTATTAGCTTTTAGTTAATATAATTATTTCTTTAGCTTATTCAATAAAATTATTATTGATTTTTTTCTTTTCAACATTTTGTAATTAAGAGAAAAAAAACAAGCCACAAAAGCCAAAAATGACATAAAAATATAATAATAAAACTCATCCAAATATAATAATATTAAAGTTGCGATAAAAGGTCCTACAATAGAACTCAATGATAGACAAGTAAAAAATATTCCAGATAGTTTTCCTAATTTATTTTAAAATTTTAAAATAATCTGATCCATATATGAACCTTAAGCAATCTATAAATATAAATGTAAATTGTAAAATGATTATAAGAAAAAACCAAAAGTTATAAAAATTTTAAAAGAATAATTTGTAGATATAAATATATATTTATATATATATAAATATATATATTATTTATTTATTTTATTTTATTTTATTTTATTTTTTATATTTATTTTTGTTTTTTATTTTATTTTATATCTATTTTTATTTAGTTTAAAAATTTTTTACCCATATTGTAGATGCACCTATTCCACATAATAATGCACTCGTTAAAACTATAATATAAATTAATGTTTAATTACAAAAACTTTCATTTTATTGATTTTAGCATAAACAAAGCCATAATCCCGTCGTAATATAAATTGCATATCCACAAGAACTATAAAAAAATATTTTTACATAAGAATATTTATCTACAAAATAATTTGCGAATATACTAGAAATACAAAAAGCAAAATATATAATAACAGTTGAAAGGAAACCTAAATTATCATAATGTAATGCTTAATATTGACTTCCTACTAAATTTTATGTTGATTTATATGCCGAGAATAATAAAAAAAAAGCTAATGATAGTTTTTTTATCTTTGTTTTTGTATCTAAAAGTTATTATGTATATTAAATATCTATTTTATAATTATTGCTTATTGATTCATTTAGCTTTTTTATATTATATATAAAAGATTAGAATTATTTATATATTTATTACACGTATTTATTTTTCTTCTGAAATCATTTTTTATATTATGTTTGTATATTTATCAATTTTAGCTTTTTTTATTATATTTTTAAGAAAAATTAATATTATAATAAATGACTATAAAATATAAATAATAATTATAATTATTTTATTAAAAAGTAAAATTATTTATTTTTAATGTATTTATTCTTTATGAATAAATAGAAAATAATAATAATAAAAAATATATATGTAAATAGTTATTTATTAAATTAAAAAAATATATATTTAATTATGAAAATAATATAATTTATGAATATTAATTTTTTTATTTTTTAGATAATATTTTATTAAAAATAAAATAAATATTTACAATTTTATTTTTATATTAGGGATAATAGAAATAAATATCTTATTGTTAGTTAATACATAAAAATAATTTCTAAATTAATAAAAAAATATATATATATATATATAAGTAAACAATGACTGAATCTAAATCTATTGAATAAATAAAAGATTAATGGGAGAACTATACTTCTATTTATACCTAGTTTGATTAAAATATTAGCGTATTTTATTTAACACTACTAAACATGGTTGAAATAGAAAAAAGAAACTCAATATTAGAAGTTGGAGCTGGAGGAGGCTATTTATTAAACCATGCAATGCAAAGGAAAAAAAAAAATGCTTAATATATAGCTACGGATTTAACAGAAGCTATGATAAAAGTTATGTGTTAAAGATCAAACTTAGAGTATAATAATTCTAAAATTATTGATTAAAAAAATAATCTAATAATATAATAAGCAAATGGAGAAGATTTAAATTAATTCTAAAATGATTAATTTGATTGCTATATTGCTAACTTATGCTTATAAATAACAAATGATCATACTAAAATGTTAAAAGAAGCTCATAGAGTAGTTAAAAAAGGAGGAATTGTAGGTTTTTCTGTTTGGGGTGATAAAGAAAAAAGCGAAATATTTACAATTATTCCTGAAGTCCTAAAAGAATTGGGAATTGAATATAATTAAAATTAAAGATCTAATTTTCATTTAAACGATAAAGAAAAACTTATATAAATTTTCTAAAATTAGGGCTTTGAAAATATTTTATGCTGGAATTAATTTGTTCCTTTTAATGAAGTTGAAAATTTTATGAATTTCCCAAGTTATTAATAATATAAGAATGTTATATGTGATAAATAAGATATAGTTATAGAAGCTATAAAATGTAAATATAATGATATTAAGAATGTAAAAAAATAACCAATTGGTCTAGACGGATTACTAATATTAGCAACAAAAATATGAATAAAATTAGTTAAAATATATATTTATTAATATATCTTTTAATAATAAAAAAAAGGATAAAAATTTAATATTAGAAATTAAATAGATTAATATTATAAAAATATAAAAAAAAATTAAAAATATAATATTAAAAATTGTAAAAATAAAAAGTATTAATTTCTAGAATATATATAAAAATATATAAATAAATAGATATATATATGTATATAAATATATATATATATTATATATACTTATTTTTATATTTTAAATATAAATTTATATTTTGATATTTTGTATTTTTTTAATCATTATTATTTTTATATTTTTTTATTAATGAATTAATAATTTTTATTATATCTATAAATATTTCTATTTAATATATTTTAATATTTTATTTTAAAATAAAATTTATATAATACATATTTATATAATAATTTTTTTCATTTTTAAATTATATCTAAAAGCCATTATAAGCCTTCTTCTATTAAATCTTCATCCTCAAATTTAAAATTATTTAAAACTTTCCAATTTTTATTTTCTTATTATATTTATAAATCAGAATTCTTATGATTAAATATTAATATTTTTTTATTTTTATATAATTCATTTTATTTAAAATTCTCTATCCAATCTTAATCATATTATATAAATTCTGCAGTTGTTAAAAATGCTATTCCTTGATATTATTTTAATATATTTTTGTATTCTTATTCTAAAATTGATGATGTTAAATCTAATAGTTTTATTTATATTTATTAATTTATTTAAATTGTTAATTCATCGTATCCTTCATTACCAGGTATTTACGATAAAAATTATTAGTATATTCGGCTTAAAATTTTCTCCTTTATGTGTTTTTCTGAACCTAAAAATAAGATTTTGCATTTTTTTTTAGGACATAACCCAAAAAGAATTCCCATAATATATTTATTATTATTATACTTATAAAATATTTATAAAAATATATTACAATTTTTTGTTTGTTTTTAATATGTATAAGAAATATATTATGAATAGTTGTATTTATAAATAAATTAAAATTCTTTTAAATTACATTAAAAATAAAAAAAGACTGAAAAAAATTAAGATTTTAAATTAAATTATATCTTTAATTATACATTAAATTATTTATATGTAATCTTAAATAATATAATCAGAATTTTTTAAAAAACATAATAATTTATAATTTTTATTATTAATATTTATATTTAAATATATTTTATATAGAAATATAATAATTATAATTTTTTAATATTAAATTTATTATATAAATTATAAAAAAATCCAATATTTAATTACGTGAAATATATTATTTTATTAAAATAATAAAAACCGAATTCAGATAAATTTGATTATATAAAAACTTTTTATTTAATAAAATTAAAATAAAAAATATTTAATGTGTTTGAAAAATAAATAATATATCAATCTATTTTTTACATAAATTATAATGTAAGATTTAATAATTTAATTATAATATTAATATTATTATAAAATTATTATTATTATTATTATTATTATTAATATTAATATTATTATTATTTTTATTATAATAATAATATTATATTTTTTATTAAATATACTTAATATGATAACAAACAAACTAATAAAAAAATATATATTTTGTTTTTTTATCTAATTTATAATAAATTATTTTTACAATAATTTTAAAAATTTAATTTTTAAAATTTATAAAAATATTATTTTAAAAAATTGTAAATATAAATATATAATATAATATATTACCTAAAATTTAATTATAAAAATAATAATGTATTATATATTCTTATATTATAATAATAATAAATTATAAAAAAAAATATTTTAAATTATTATATTAAAAATATATATAAATAAATAATTAAATATATATATATTTATGAATATATATATTTATTTATTTTATTTTTTTATTAATTATTTAATCTTTGATATTTAGTATAATTATTTTACCATTATTTAAATATTTTTTTTTTATAAATTTTACTTTATTAAATTTGATTTTTTTTTATTTTTTATTTTTTTTTTCTTTAAGATATATTATAAAATAAATACTTTTGATTTTAATCTTTTATATATGTATTTTCATATTAATTCAATTTTTATAATATTTATAGTATTTTATTTGTCCTTTTTTTCTCTCTATTTCTAATTTTAATTTAAATTACTATAATACAATTTATTTTATACGCGTTATTTGTTTTTTAACAAATATTATAATTATATTAAAATAATTAATCACTTTTAATACATTTATTTATTTAGGCCTAGTAACCATTATAATTTAAACTGTCATTTAAAAGGGTATACATAAATTTAAAATTACTTAAAATTTAATAAATATTATTATTTTTATAAAAAAATTTGTTCATAATAATTAGTATTTTATTTTATTGCAAATTAATACAATTTAAGATATATTATATAAGATAATATCCTTAATTAAAATATTAATGTCTATATTTAAACATATTAGTAGTGAAGTTAAAAAAATACATACAATAAATTGTTTATATATCAAAATTAAAAGTAAATATAAAAATATTTTTAAATAAATAATTTAATACAATATATCATATAGTAATTATATATTTTATATATATTTTTTTTTATTTATTAATTAATTTAATATCGATTTTATTATATAATCAGACAAATAAACTATAAGAATATTTCCTTTATATTTATAAAAATATAAAATCTTATTTTATATTTTTCTTTTATTATTATAATTGTTATAAATAAATTATTATATTTTTAATATTAAAACAAAAATTTCTTTAAAAGCTTAATGTCTATAATTTTCCTTACATTAATATGCAATATGCAATATTTTTTCTTTGGATTTAATATATAATTATTGAAATTAGACATTAATGCTCTTCAATTGTTTTACACAGTATATGCAATTTAAATAAGTATATTATAGTCTTATTCATCAAAAATTTTATTTTAGAAAGTTTTCTTTATATTTATAACAAAAATAGATTTTCTACATTCATATAATAAATTAATATAATTATAATACTATTTAAAAAATATAAAATATTATTTTCTAATTCTTTTTGTAATCTTATTAAAAATTTATAAACATTATAATATTTAATAAATAAATATGATTTGAAATATATTTTTTATATTTAATTTTATAATAAATTAATATATTTGCAAAATCAATAAAAAAATAAAAATAATTGTATTATTCAAAAAATACAATAATAATATATTTAATATATAAAAAATAATTTTAAGCAAAAAATATTTTGTTATTTTTAATAATTTTTATTAATTAAAAAAAAATTATATTAATTAAATATAAAAAAAAGATAAAATATTTCTAAAATCACTAATATTAATATTTTTTTAAAAAAAATGTCTTTAATAATAATTTTTTATAGCATTTTTTTTTTTTTGATTGATTTTATTTAATAAAACATAAATTAATAAAATAAAAATATATAAAACTAATATCAAAAAATAATATTATTTACATAGATAATATATAAATTATACCTTTTTTCATATAAAATTATATTTTTTATAAATATATATATTTAAGATATATATGCTTAGTTTTTATAAATAGTATGAATTTTAAATTAATAAATTTTAATTTAAATTTAGTTTCAGTATAAGTATGCATTTATTTTATTAATTCGTAAACAAATAATTATTTATAAGATTTTTATATATAATATATGAAAATTAAAAATAATCTTTAAATGGATATATAAACAAAATTAATTATATATATAATTTTTATATATAAATTTATAATAAATATGATTATATAAATTTATTTATAAAGAAAATATAATAATAGATTATAATGATTATATCTTTATTTGAATTATAATTTAAATTTATATTTCTAATTATTTTTTAACTTTTTATATTAATAAAAAATTCTATATACAATTATTTTTTATACTAAATATAATTATAATATATTATATTCATTATTCTATTTTTATATCTTCTATACCAGCTCCATACTTATTACTAGATTTTTAGTTATTAATTGTATGTTAGTTATTTAAGTTAATTTCATTATTATTTTAGTTATCAATATTATTTGATGAAGGAAGTTAAACTGTAACTGGATTCTTTTTTTATGTAAAAAAATAATTTTGTAATTATTTTATATATAAATACCATTATTATTAAGTAAATAACAATTAAATTTTAACCAATTATAAAACATCCTTTAATTTATTATATATATAATAAAGAATATAAAAATATAAATATAAATTAGAATAAATATTTTTAATATAATGAAAACCAAATGCTAAAAAATACCAAGGCCAATTAAGCATCAAAGTTCCGCAGCTTTTTATATATTTTATTTAATTATTTTTTTAAACTTTTTCATTTTTTTAATATAAGTTTATAAAAAAAATACAAAATGCAAAAAAATGATTTTCCCATATCTTTTCTTAAAAAATTTAAATAATCTAAAATTATCTAAATATTCAATTCTGCAGATATTAATAAAATTCCAAAATTCCTATTAAATTTTTTACATTAAATACAAAAATATATTATTTAATAATATTGAAATTTATATATATTTATAATTTTTTTTATGTATTATTTAAAATATAATCTATTACATCCAATAAAAAGTCCATATTCCATGTAAAATATCTAACGTAATTACTGAAAATCTTATTATAGCTAATAAAATTAATAATAATCCAACAAAAATATTTGTTATTTTAACAATTAATTTTAAGTTTTATATTTTTATTTTCATTATTTTAATATTTTTTATTTTTCTTATTTTTAAAATAATAAAAAATATATAAATAAATTTTAGTTATAGATAATAAATAAATATTATTTTTTTATATGAGAAAATAA